CTGTGTTAGCAAATTCAGTGACATATTCTCTAATTCAAAGCTACGAGTTTTGGGGGGAAAAGATATACCCCTGCTGAACTCAATATTAAACAAGGGAAAGGAAATTTTTAAACTTAGGCATAACCACAAAGCTTACTGCCTTTTTTTTTTTTTTAACTCTTTGTGTTCAGGTGGAGGGCAGGTTCTAAGACATGAAGTTTAAATGTTACTGCCTTAAGCCCACCTCATAAGAACATTCCAAGTCCATGATCTTCACAGCAAAAGGAAAAAACAATGAGTAGCTGCTTCAAAAACCACAATTATTCTATGTGAGTTAAGTTTCCTACTTCAGATCACGGTACTACACACTAGTGACTAATGGCCAGGTCTGATTTCCATCCCCCTTTATCATTTGAGAAAATTACAGCGTACATGTTGCCAATTCAATGTTGTTGATGACCCTGGACTGGGGATGTGAGGAGTCCATGGTAGACACTGGCTCTCCTAGAATTTGCTTTTGCAAAACACCACATGCTGTCAATACAGCCAAACAGCTTTGTAACGGCAGCTTTCAAAAGAGTTTGGAAAGTAAAAAACACAAAATATGCAACACATCTAAGATTAGTAACATCTTCACTTTTGTGACATTTGACAAAATACAATTTTGCTTGTAGTTCAGGAAAATTCTATGCAGACAAAACAGTGGAAACTACAGAAACGGTGACCATTCAGCTTCTGGGCTAAAGCATCAATTTTCAAATACAGCGCTATGGCAACAAACACCAGAGGGCTAATAAAAATTTGTCACTCTCTGTAGGCCAACATTTTGTTCTCCCATTTGCTGTAGCTGTCACCTCATCCAGTCAGTGGGAGTTACTAAGGATTCAAACTCTGCAGTATTTCATGATGAAGCAATGACAGTGGACCACACACTGGGCCAGAGAGGAACAGCTCCTTCAGGATTCCTGTGTCCTTTACAGAGCTGGAACAGAGACCTCTGCAAGAACTTTGCCTTCAACTTGCCTGATAGTTATATCATTCAACACATTTACAGAGGGAAGTGGGAGTAAGAAATTGAGGAGAAAAGGGCTAAAAGGAAAAACAAATGAGTATCACAAGATTTTTTTGGTAACATCTTGAAATTCACAGGTAAATTTGCCAGAAATTTGGCAAGTGGAGAATACTATTTAAAACTAATTAATACCATTGTAATATTCTACCTTTGCTTATCAATCCTGATGTTGAAAATTTTTGTAATGAAAAATAGTTGCAATAAATCCAAAACTTTTAATTCAAAGAGAACCCTGTTTTAGTGATTTGACTTAATATTGCCTCCCAAAGCCAACTGAAGGAAAAATATAGAGACCATGGCAAAAGACAACACCTGCAGTTGGAGATAAAAATAATAATAAAAAAGAAAAGTTCCCCTCTTTAAAGAGAATTGTGTCAATTCCTTGTCATCTCTTATAAAAGGGCCAATAAAATTTTTGTGGGAGTACATCTGAGTTTTATGAGACTTTCTGCACCAGTAAATGAAGTTTGCATTTAAATCCATAGAGCAAGCTTCCTTTTGGCTGAAAGGGTTTTAATGTAAACCAGTAAGACTGCACAAGCAATGTTGTAAAAACTGTAAATTAACTTTATGATGCTGCAGTTTGGTGAAGCTGTGAAGTGTACCATTTTGGTGACATAATTTTAAGTCATGTTTAAAGCATGGCTATTAGACTTAAATGTCTTTGAGGGCTTAAAGAATTGGCATTAAGTGGGATATTCTGTTAAAATTTTAAGTAACCTACCAAGTATTCAAGGCTACTTTTAATTTTTGTTTTATTTTTCACTAGGACAATACAAATTCCAAATTAAGTGCTTGAATGGATGAGTAAATCTCTTTCAAGAGGGGCAACTGCATTGTGACAGGCAAATATTATAATAGAACAAAGTTGAGGTCACAGTGAATAACTCCAAGTTCAAGTGTAAGCTAACTATTTATCTAATATAAGTTCTATTCCCCCTTCACACACACCTTAATTTTTAAATCTCATAAACACGGGTTCTCCTTGAAATTCCATTGTAAAATACAGCACAATCCTGACATGCAATGACTACAGAATTTCATACATTTCTACAGAAATTCTATGTAAGATCCTAGCACAAATAAGAAAGAAATGTAAAGAAGGAACAAAATGGACTGAAACATGGATTTGATTGAACCTTGGCCTAAAGTCTAAAAGAAATCATGTTAACTTCTTCCTTTGTTACTCTATATGATACATAACATTCAAGTGCATTTATAAGACCCAGGCCCAAAACCAGAAAATTCCATGGGAGAAAATTCCAGACATTCAAGTATTGACAATAATCTAATCTTAAAATAATCTAGATAGATTCTATGGGAAAACAATTAAATTTTTCATCTGTGTTAACATATTTAAAAATGTATCAAACATCTAAAAAGAACTGTGTGGATTCATAGAATAGTTCAAACAATTATAAGGAAAAAGAAAAAATGGTAATGATGGTTTAAAACAAAAATCCCCCAAGGCGAATATTAACTTAAGTTCTACATGTGTATATAAATTATTACACCACAGTCAATACAGATTCGTTCTGCATACCACCCATGCCAACCAACTTTCTAGTGATTTGTGAGTGGATGACCATCTAATTCAACCTGCTTCTTCTTCAGAAATTATATCAGTGATGCCAAATGATTTACATATTTATTTTGTCTCTCTATTGTTCTCCAGAAGGAATAAACAAGTTGAGCACAAGAATGTTTTCCTGATTTTGATATGGTATTATGAAAATATGCTTGACAGTTTTAAGATGATTTGTTTGTTCTAAATATTAAGCCTTTGGTTCCTGAGAAAAGCAAGATGCTTTTGAATCACATGTAGCAAAGCCTTCTATCTAATATAGGGGACTGTGTAGACCACACATTAGTTCGAGAAAATGGCCAGCCATTCAAGAGTTCTTCAATGCCTTATCCTTTGTAGCATAAATTTAACCTTTCTTAGGTCTTTTTCACTTGTGTGGAAATTAACAACACTCTTTTATTTCATTTTTTTACAAGGCATCTACAAAAATGTTTTAAAAAATTGATCATATCTCCACTGCCAAGTACTCCTCACCTCCCCTATTCCCCGACTATTTTTATTGTATTATAATGTAACCAACCTCTAAGTAGCTGATTAACTGCCTTCGTTTTTGCCTGTGGTTCATCTAGGTCCTTGACTTTGTCCTGATTGTGGACAGCTAATTAAAGTATCCACTGGAAGACGAACAGAAGCATACCTGTTCATCTTTAGTCTACCAGGACATCTTGTCAAAAATGATTTAATAGGATAAAAAGATGAAGTAAAATGTTAAGATGAGGGTCATGAATTATCTGTGGATTTCAATTATTCACAATATCACTGCCTCCTAATTGAAAGAAGAATCATAAAGCAATAGCTATATGTTAATGTTTCCATAGAGAAAGCATACTCAGTGAGGCTGAGTAGTCAGAGCTTGAAGGCTCCCTGAACAATGCATGTGGTTTCTGGGACATTGTGGTAGAGGTATTCCTAAAGTCTATTTACTTGGATATCATTTAGAGCAAGAACTAGCTACCAATTTCCCAAGAGGCAGAAGGAGGATGACCTATATCCTTATTGAAAGATTTTGTAATGACAATACCAAAAGGTTAGAAAATTTCAAGAATCTGGATTGAAAAATACAGTAAAACTCCTCATTCTCTTATATCAACATTGAAGGACTAGATCAACACCTGCCTCCTAGATTGACAGCTTATTTAAAGCCTGTGACATATGTAGTTCACATGTTTCCTTGGACCTGGTTTGACCTCTTGTGTCTCCAAATCTATGTAATAAGCTGTGTTCTAATAGCACTCTGCAATGTGAGTGGCTTAGATAAGAATAAAGATGATCCTGTTTTGTTGAGTTAGAAGAAATAAATTTCCATATTGACAAGGCTAACTATGTTCCTTGAAACCTCCCTACTGCAAAGGGTAAGGAAGAGGAAGAAAAAATATGAGTAGATTTGTCTCTGGGAAAAACAATGAAGGTGGAGTACACTACAGCTCGGTGGCTCAGCCTGTAATCCCGCGCCTTTGGGAGGATGAGGTGAGTGGATTGCCTGAGCCCGCGGGTTCGAGACCCGCCTGGGCAGCGAGACCTCATCTCTACAATAAATCAAAAAATCAGCCGGGCGTGGTAGCACATGCCTATAATTCCGGCTACTCGGAAGGCTGAGGCGGAAGGATCGCCGGAGCCCAGCAGGTCAAGGCTGCGGTGGCCGGGAGCGACCACTGCACTCCAGTCTGGGCGACAGAGTGAGACTCCAACTCAAAAAATAAAAAATAAAAAAATAAAAAAATAAAAAAGAACTAGTTTATGGTCTATCTTACCTCTCCATTGTGTCTCCATAAGTGGCTAGGAGAAACAGGGAATTGGTGCTGGTGTGATGTGCTCAGATTCTAAATTCTAAATGCCCTCCTTGACATTACTGAAGTCATACAAATGGGTAGGCAGCCCTGTTTTACTTCTAAAAGCCAATTTCACCATGATCCTGACATCATAGATTCCAGCTGGTAGAATACTCTGACAATCTGGTACCAGCATCAGCTGGGCCTTTGGGGCACACCATTACAAACCTGTTTCAAAACATGCACTTAATCAATCTCTGCCTTCCTGGTCTTATTGTAGTTCATCTTTTTCCACAGCTACTTCTGTCAAGATATGCCCTCTCTTTTATTCTTGCCCCTCCAAATCTGAGGAGTTACCTCAATCACAGAATCCAAGGAGACACAGAGCCCTCTTATATCTAAGAAAGCTTGAATTTTTCCCTATTAATATGTTTTACCTATAGAAAATTCAGTTTCTTCAATCAGGGAATCCCACTGATTTTAAATGAAGGCTGAATTCCCCCAATGCCACTGGGCAGAAAGCTGCCTCTTTCTTTTTCATTTAAAGCAAATGTCCCAAAGCTGGCCATCACTCTGTCTCACAGAAGGAAGTGGACTAGAGTCCATTTTGCCTGCTGTAGTTGAAGTCGGCTTCATCAAGCTGGGATTCCGTAATGTTTGAGAGTTTCGTGTGTGTCCTCCCAATCTCTTCAAGGGCACAGGCCAGGGAGTCAAGGTCACCATCGTGCTGATGACGAGCTTCCCACAGGTTCAAAATGACAGCAGATGGGCTACTTTGTGTAGCAAAATAAGATAGATTCCTAGATAGGGTTAAACAAAAAGAAGAACAAAGCAAAAATGAAAATAAAGGAATAAAAAAATTGCCATAAAGAAATTAACATGCATTTTAATAGCCATTATTACATAGGGGTAGAAAAGCTACAGGAAGGTATGTATGGGGCTGAAACTGTACTTTGGAGTGTTACTAATAATCTTAGCTCCTAAGTCTTTTCCTATTCCTCACCTTCTTTGAGCTCTTTGTATTTGTAAGTGTATTTCCTTCTTGACAATTCCATGAAAATCGCTCTATTTTGTTTATGTGATACTGTGACTCATTCCTCATTTTTCAAAATATCTGATTCCCTTCTCCCTTGATAAACATAAGGGCTGTCAAAGTATTATTATTATTACTATTGGTCTTATTTTCTTCCTCAGTGGACTCACATACTAAATGGGGTAGTTATCAACTCCAAATGTATAGTATCTAAGTCTATAGCACTAATCTTATAGGTCAGTATGAGCTAGTAATAAATCTCTAAATGATGTTAAGTTTGCTCCAACGAGATATTTCTCCACTTCCTGAAATTCAGTGTGTCAACAATTGATATCATCTTCACACCTCCAAACTGGTCCCTCTTCTAACTAGAATGAGTATCCCAGTATTCTACAAGTATGTTTCTAATCTCGCACACTAGGACATTTGTTTTTACTGTTCCTTTTATGTTGTTTCTTCCCTTTTGATATAGTCATCAGCTTCACGTTTCCTCTCCACTTTTACTTCTTATACCTAATTTATACTCTATCACTATATGACCTGAATCATAGTCAAAGCCTTAGAATTCCTCAAAACTCTTGAATATGCCCCAAATTATATTTCCTCAAACAATGAGATGCCTACTCTAATTATTTTCAATGTCTTCATTTCGGCCTCAACCTAGCTATATGTGTATGTGTATGTGTGTGTGTGTGTATTTAAATATATGTCAATATATATATATATTTAATTTTATTTTAAAGATATGGGGCACAAGTCAGGACTGGGTACATAAGTGGTTTACATACAGGTGAAGTTTGGGCTCCTATTGGATCTCACTTCACCTGGAATGGGATCATGCACCCTTATTGATGTTGTGTTCCCCCTGCTTCCTTGGCAGTGTCCCACCACTGCCAATCCCTTTCTTGTAGTATTATAAGCATTCAAGGTCCACTTATGAGTAAGAACATGTGTTTCTCAGATCTTTGTCTCTGTGATAGATCACTGAGTATGATGGTCTCTAAATTCATCCTATTTGCTGTGAAGTCCATAATCTTGTCTTTCTTTATGGCTACATAATACTCCATCGTGTATATGTGGCACATTTTAAAAGTCCAGTCCTCTTTCAAAGGGCAGCGTGTTTGGTTCCATGCTTTTGCTATTGTGAATAGTTCTGCAATAAACATTCATGCACAGGTATCTTTTATGTAGAATGAGTTCCTCCAGGTATATTCCTAGAAGGGAGGTTGCTGGGTCATATATATTTATATCTTTTAAATATTTATAATTATATACATTTTCTTTTCTTTTCTTTTTTTTGAGTTGGAGTCTCACTCTGTCACCCAGACTGGAGTGCAGTGGCCGCTCCTGGCCACTGCAGCCTCGACCTACCAGGCTCTGGCTATCCTTCTGCCTCAGCCTTCCAAGTAACTGGAAATACAGGCACGCGCTACCACGCCCGGGTCATTTTGATTTATTGTAGAGATGGGGGTCTCGCCAAGTTGCCCAGGCAGGTCTCGAACCCGCAGGCTCAGGCAATTCACTCACCTTATATATACATTTTCTAAGTTGTTTGTTTTTTCTTTTTGAACCACTGACCCTGACTTAGATAATACTTTGCTTCTTGCTTTTATTGAATCTATTCTGTTCTCTAAGAATGTCTTTTCCTCCCTTTATTCTGTTTATCAAGATTATACCTTCCTACAATATGTGGTTCAATTCTTATCTCCTCTTTCTTCAAAATGATTTATGCTTTTGTAAAACACTCTGCACTTAAACTTTCATGTTAATAAAAAGCTTATATACATCTGGTGTGTGTGAGCTCTGCCTTTCCAATTTGACTACAAACACCCAAAGCAAGGATCACATTTCTAATCAGCTTTACCACTTATCATAATGCTGTGACAGTTGTTTATTCAACATCCATCAGCTGAGTAATTGATTACTAAACGCCTTTTTCAGATGATATGGCAACTTCAGTTAAAAACACACACACACACACACACAAAAACAAAACAAAACACAAGTAGCCTTTTGATCAATAACTTTGCTATGATGAAGACTAAGACAACACAAAAGATTAAAGGTTACTGTCTTGCATAGGGACTTTTACAGGAAGGATAGAAATGTCATCTCTAGTAACATTCTGATGAGTTGCAAAGATTTTCCAGATTCATCCGGGTATTGCCTGTTTTTAGGACAGTATGACTTTCCCTCACCATACCCAGCATACAGTCACAAAGAGGATTCACATAGAGAAGAGCACTTGTAAGAGAAGCAAGCGTTTAAGGGCATGCTACCATTTATAAGAGCCACACACACATGTGCATACACACACACACTGTAATTCTGAGTGAATAAAGTGCTATTTTATTCAAAGGTCTTAGGACACTATTTACAGCCAGGTGGTTGCCAGAGAGCATAATTATAAGGGCTACATGAACTTCCCCCTACTATGAAGCTTTAATTGAAAAAGGGAGAAGACCTGCTCAAAAACATTCTCTCTAGTTTATTTTTCTTTTCTCTTTCCCTTCCTCCCTCCCTGCCACTTTGGCTTTGTTTATTCATTTCTACGCTAACAGAAATGGCATAGGAGACCTTGCTTGAGTAGTTGAAGGGATCTTGTTCCTCCTGTTTAAGAAATTTGTTTTGAGGCTGAGGTGAGTGGATTGCCTGAGCCCGCGGATTCGAGACCCGCCTGGGCAGCGAGACCTCATCTCTACAATAAATCAAAAAATCAGCTGGGCATGGTAGTGCATGCCTGTAATTCTGGCTACTCGGAAGGCTGAGGCGGAAGGATCGCCGGAGCCCAGCAGGTCGAGGCTGCGGTGGCCGGGAGCAGCCACTGCACTCCAGTCTGGGCGACAGAGTGAGACTCCCACTCAAAAAAAAAAAAAAAAAAAAGAAATTTGTTTGGAATATTGGCACTTCTTCCTGGTCATATAGAAATGTTTGTAAGGGAATTTGCTATATCTCCCTACAAACACCCTAAAAGACATCCAGGTAGAACACAGACTGAATAGCTGGGAAAGAAGCAAACTGAGAGATGAGGCCTGAGTAGATTCTGGGTGGTCTGGGGTGGTCTGTGTGACAATGTCTTTTCATATCCCATATGAAAATGAGGACTATGACCATTTCTCTGTTCCTGGCATAGGTAAATAATTCTTTATGACTTCCTTGTTGTTTCAAAAGCAATAAAATTTAATACATTTATGAAAATTTAATACAATAAAAATTGCCTACAGCAATAAAAATAGCCCTAGCTTTTTCCTAATTTTATTGAGGGTTTATAGTTTGGATTTGCTACTGAACAACAAAGGATGTGTGCCTTGTGGTAGTAACTAGAATCCTTGTAATATGAATAACCCCCAAATTACACTCTCTTTTATACAAGGAGTTGACAACCTTTTTCTGTAATAAAAGATAGTAAATATTTTTGACTTTGGGGGCCACATATGGTCTCTGTTGCAACGACTTCACTCTGCCATGATAGGGCAAAAGCAGCCATAGACAATATGCAAGTGAATGCATGTGACCATGTCCCAATAAAACTTTATGTAGTACACTGATATTTGATTGTCATATAATTTTCGTGAGTCACACAATGATATTTTTCTTTTGCTTTTTTCCCCCTACCATTAAAAAAATGCAAAAAAAAAAAAAAATCCTTAGCTGGAGAGCTATAGAAAGGCAGGTGGTAGACCAGATCTGGCCTGTAGGCCATTGTGCTGACCCCTGTTCAATATTTTTAAAACCCAAACAAGACATCCATGGCTGATAGCTATTTGAAAGATTAGACTGAACTTTGTACTTTGTACTATATTTAAAAATAATCACCTAGATGACCAAAATGGCTGAATCCCAATCTCTATATTCTGCCTCAAGCACTCTGAAAGCTTTATCCTGAGTAAATGTTTGAGGATCTTTGACATTTCAAGACAGGAAGACCTGGGCATAAAAATGCAATAATAAAACTATTAGAGAGGCATAAGAAATCAACACTGAGGGTTCTGTTCATTGCTTCAACACAATATTGAAAATATGCATGTGTATACCTGTCTAGAGAAAGAGAAAGGCTGGAGAATGACTCCTGCCAGCCAATTGGTTCTGAGAAGTCCTGCAAATGTGTCCTCATTTGTGGACTAGGCACCCAAGGCTAAAGGAAGCTAAGTGATCAAAAGAGGCAGAAATATCACTCTTACTTGGCACAGATCTCTGAACATATTGTAGCAAGTGAAATGTACTCCCTAAAGCAAGTTTTAGATATATTCTTTGAATTTACACAAGCACATTCAGCATACCATAAATCTCAAATGCCACTTAATTTTAGCATATACATAGAAGAGTAATTCAACCTTATTAAGAATTACTTTTGCAATTAATCGACATCTTATTAAACTATATTTACTTGCCAACAACAGATTATATTTTTTAAAACTCCTAAAATCCTAATGTAATGGACTATTTTTCAAGGGTAACTGAATTATTTTGTTGCTTACATGTGTGCAAATACACTGTGATTTTTGTAAAATTGATATGCCTTATATCCATTTGGTTGTCTCTATACTACCCTTGTGAAATTATTCTGATCCCAATCTATGTCACCTCCCCCCCTCCTTTTTTTTTTTTTGGTCAAAATGATTATGGTACATTGGGCACCAGCAGGTAAATGCACACACAATTTGGGAAACATTGTTACTATATACTACAAAACAGAATTCACAGCAATAGGTGATTTTAAGCAATTTACTGAGTTTGATTTTTTTGGAAATAAAACGAAGACATTAG